CATGCTTGCCAGGCAGGCACTGAGCCACTGAGCTATACCCCTGGCCCAAACAAAACACTTCTAAATGAATTTTAAGAAGAGTACCTTTTATAGATTTTATTCTCCAAAATTAAAAAATAAAATGAGAATGAGGTGCAATATTTTTATAGTACAATAAGTACTATACAATAAGTACTAATTCTACTTAGAATTCTTAAAAGCTCTGGATACATTCAATTTTTATGAAATAAATGCTTCTTTAAATGAACAAATGGGAAAATTAGCCATTTGGGAGAAATCTGTGGTTATATTTTATGAAAAAAATAATCACCTCTCGATCTGGATTAAAAGTTCATCGTTTTGGTGCACTTAAGCATTCTTTCTCTTTTAATACATTTCAATAACTGCCAAAGATGCAATAAATGAATTGGATGTTGTTAAGATGACTTCATATCTAAGGGGTTTCTAAGTGTGAAAAGAACCTCTGGTAACCTGATTTCCCTAAATTTTGACTGCAATTTAATTTATTAAATTCCCTTCATCAAGTTAAATTATGCTTAAAAATTGAATATAACTAGTTCTTTGGATTATGTTAAATTGTTGAGCAGCTGAGAAATATAAACATTCAATAATTGCAAATGTTTTACAATACCATGTGAAACTATCCTAAAACATGACATATTATAGAATTATTTCATTACTTATGCACTTGTTTTTATGCTTTCATAGGGTTGTTTTACCATATTTTTAATCTCTTTACATGGTAGGCAGTGCTATCATACCTCACTAAAATGATTTCATTTTGGACTAGCTAGGTAACAGAATCTGGCTTCCTCTTTTTTTTTTTTTTTTGAGACAAGGTTTTTCTATACAGTTCAGGGTAGCCTTGAACTCACTTTGTAGCCTAGGCTGGCCTCAAACTTGCAGCAGTCCTCCTGCCTCAGCCTCCTTAGTGCTGGGATTATAGGCATGTGCCACCACACCTAGCAAGAATCTGGTTTATTAACCAGTTGATTTTGTGTTGAAGTTTAGGGTTGGCAATTTCTTTATGATGATTTAACTGAAGATACTGGTTACTGGTCATCTAATGAGCTCCTTTCAAAAATAAACTTGATATCACTTATTTTTTTTATAACAGAAAAATGTTTAAGTAGGTTTTCTTTTCTTGCAATCAGGTACTTTGTCCCAAATGAGGTAAACTTTATGTTTTGCTTGCTCAGTGTGACATCATTTCTTTTCTTGGCATCATATAATGAACCAGACTTGGAGCTTTATTGGAAACTTATGTTTTTCTAATAGCTTGAAATTTGCAATGTCATCTAGGAGGCTCATATCTGAAGAGATGAAGGTTAAAGCTTTGACAGCATGCCTCTGAGATCATTTGGCAGATTAATCACCTTGGTACACATTTTTGAATTTCTTTCTCTATCAAGAAAGAACTATTGATGATTCCCTACTGTGCTCCCTCTACCTGGTTACTGTGAGAGACCATTACTGCTAATTAGGTCTTCTTGGTACAATCTCCACCCTGCTAATGTTGCACAGATAGAAAAACAGTACACTATACTTGTGTATCTTATATATACACACTTAAGCAAAGAAACAAAGCACCCCTATATAAATTCTACTTTATAAAATTATTTTGTAAGTTGGTCACATCTTATTATATTTGCCCTTCTTTTGTGCATTACCTCTTCATATTTTCCCCTCTGATACCAGGGATTGAACCCAGGGCCTCACACATGCTAAACAAATGTTCTACCACTGAGCTACATCCCTGGCCCTTACCTTTTCACATGTTTTTAATTCAACTCTTCTCATTTACGAATTCTTTTTTTTTTTCAGGATTGGAAATTGATTCCAAGCTTTTAAACATGTTCAGCAAACACTGCAACAATGAGCTACATCCCTAGCTCATGTTCCTATATTCTTAACAGAAGTCTGTTATCTTGGAACACTTGACTAGCTACTCTTAAATGCAGTTTGTCACTTAACCTGATATATCAAGCCTTTTCTATTTGTTAATATTCTATGTGACTATATGTATATTCAGAATTCTATTTGGGAGTGTGCCTTTCTTATCTGAGCTACATTTTTACATATGGCTTGGAACAGTGTTCTGTGTAGAAAGTAAGTCCTTTAGACTCTTCCTGCTTTTGCAATTCTGTCTTTTTTTTATGTTCTTAAATTTCAAAATAACCCCTATAATCAGCACAAGAAGGTATACTTCCCACACAAAATCTTTTAGAGTGGACTGATGTGAAACATCATAAAGTTTCTGTCTGCTTGCAAATTATTGTTATTTGGTTAAAGAAAATTCATTTTTAAGAAAAATTATTTCATAATTCGCAGAAAAAGACACTCCTTTAAAACAGAAAAGGAAGTACCAAAGCAATGTGTCAGTTGTGTTTTTACCCTTCTGTCAGCAGTATGATAGGTGAATGATTGACCCATTTCTGTTTCAGAGTCCTTCTCATCTGTCTGTGGTTTGAGATTATTGCACCGTCGGCAGAAGCGGATCATTGGTGGAAAAAATTCTTTAAGGTAAAGGGTTCTTCAAAGATTTTCTCTGTTATAGAATAAGTAATACACATATAGTAGTACAAACCTGATTTTTCTATTTTATACAAGGAATCTGTTTTATTCATTTTTTTCCAAATTACGTACTGATTACAGTGATAATTTAATGCCCTTTGACCTACATTTATGTAGACTGTGTTCCTATGCCATTATCTCAGGAGATAGATGTGTTGCTCAAAAGTGATGTGGCTGGAAACAAAGTAATTTAATAGGAAACCTGAAAAAGGTGTAACTGTAAAGATTTAATTAATTTACAATATGTTTGTTTCTGGTTTGTTTCATTTTAATATTATATCTGTTTGCTTAATTTACTTACAGGAAACTGGCACTTTGTTTATTAACTATTTGTTCAGGCTACTTAGGTGAACTAGAGGAGAGAAATTACATGTCAGGCATGAAATATAAAAGAGACTCAATTTCTTTTGAGTAGTGTCAGATAGGTGGGATGTGTGCAGATGCCTTGAAGCACATGTTCAGAGATGGGAACACATGGTCTGCTTAGTTTTGGGGCTCTTTCTCCAAGCAGGAGGCATCGTACATCCTAGAGTCCCTTTGGAGTTCCTTCACCGTTCCCCTCCCCCGGAGGACATTAAAGTCATTAAAACCTTTGGCTTAACTATTGCTTTTGTTTGCTTTTTTCCTTTAATGGACAAGTGGCTCGCTTTCTTCTCAGGGGTGGTTGGCCTTGGCAGGTCTCCCTCCGGCTGAAGTCATCCCATGCAGACAGCAGGCTCCTTTGTGGGGCTACCCTCCTGAGCAGCTGCTGGGTCCTCACAGCAGCGCACTGTTTCAAGAGGTATGTGTCCACTTTTCCCAGCAACTTGGTTTGGCTTGGCCTTGCCAGTTGTTCCAGTCCTTCCTGCTCAGAGGCACTTGGGGTGTTGGAGCCAGGCGAGAAGCCTCCCTTAGCTATGTCGGCAGCACTGTGGCAGCAAAGAAGGCTGCATAAAGAACAAAGAACCTTCAGGAAGCTGCTCACTATACTGGTGTTAAATGAAACTCTGGGTCCAGGGAGAAGAGAAGATGGGTTTTGGGAGGGGTTGCTGGTGCTCCCGCAGAGCTTACCTGAGGTGGAATCATTTCCCTCCCAAGGTAACAGTGACTTCAGGATATCAGATGTGAATGTGAAATGCTTCGAATGTGGTTTTAGTGTTTTTGATGCTTCCATTTGCTCTGTGTTTTGTGTCTCTCAGATTTCTCCATTCCACCTTCTAGAAAGTCAGGTTGCAGCTATTTTCTTTTTGTCTTTTATGTAATTTAGAGCTGATTATTTCCTCTTCTCCCAAACATTTTAACAGTCTGTGCTGTAGTCTTGCCAGATAAGCAGCTCTGCAGAGTTGCAGAGTTCACCCTGGCAGGACTTTTCCCTTGCCCAAGGCTCTTTTGACCTTTTTGCTTTAGTTAATGGCGATTTCCTCAGCATTTTTTCAAAAATGTATACCATCACAGTGAAAATATTGATAACTACTGAAGAAAGGTAATAAGTACAAGTAGTTTTATTATACTAATTTTATTTTGGAAACAGTCATAATAAAACATTATAAAAAGAGTATGTACCACATAGTTGAGAAATTCTTTTTTTAAAAAAATAATTTAATAGGTTTTTATTTTCTCTTTATTTTATTTTTTTGGTTCTTTTTGGTTTTTTGAGACATGGTCTCACTGTGTAGTTAGGCTGGCTCAATATGTAGCCCAGGCCTGCCTCGAACTCATGGCAATCCTCCTACCTCAGTGTTCTGAGTGCTGGGATTACAGACGGTATATCACTGTGCCCAGCATGAAAAATTCTTCCATGTAAAGATTTACTTTGTACTTTTTTCTAAATAGCATAGGAACTGTATACACTTTTGCTTTATTTCTCTTTGCAGTTGATTTTTAAATTTTTGTAAATGTTCTGTTTACAAAGTAGTTGCTATCTTCCCAGTGTGGCCATGTTCTTTTACTTAATAGCTATTTTATTATGAAAATATTTTAATATGTTTAAGTGTATCATTTTTCACTGCAAAGTTTATAAAAGCTTTGCAGGTCTTATTTTAAAAATCTGTCCCTTGACCCATACATGAAAGATATGTTATTTTGTAAAAAGTACAGTTTTGCCTTTTATAGATTTTTAATGTTTATAGTTCATTTTTGTGTATGGCATATGCTGTGAGGAAGGAACCCAATTTTATACTCTTCTTTACCCACTGATTTATGTTAACTATGTCATCTAACAAATTATTTTTTGTTGTTGTTGTTGTTTTTGTTTTTGAGACAGGGTCTTGTTATGTAGCTCAGGCTGGCCTTGAACTCACTTTGTAGCCCAGGTTGGCCTCGAACTTGCAGTGATCCTCCTGCCTCAGTTTTCTGAGTGCTGGGATTACAGGCATGTGCCACCATGCCCAGCTCACAAATTCTTATATATCCTTGTCTTTAGGATCTCTCTTCTCTCCTGTTTATCTATTTTCACTTATATTTGTAGAGAAATTTTCTATGTTTGGTTCAGAGGATACAAATCTACATTTTAAATATTGTTTGTCATTTTTAGAATGTAATTGAATTTGAGAGTTCACCTCAATATCAGTGGGTTTAATGTATTCCTGTGTTACATGAGTGACAATTACAATACAGATTATATTCACTAATTAACTTAGTTCTTTTAGCCCCTGATATTCTCAGGCATATGCTATGCACTATTGATAAAGTAGAAAACAAGACAGGTAGGATCCTTGCCATCAGAGTTTATGGAATATGACTCTGAAGGTGGAGACATTGATATTGCTGGTATGACCAAGAGATTAGGGTACTACCTTTAAAATGTGTTATTTTCACTACAATATTAGATTCAGTTAGCTTGTTAAAAACTCATGTCTCTGGGCCCCTAATCCATGTCTATTAAATCTTTGGAGCTGAGACTTAGAAGTTGGCATTTTTGATCAGCCATTTCAGATGAATCTTACGTGCTACAAAGGCTAAGAACCACTTAATGGGTAGATAGGATATGATCTGGATATTTGAAGAATGAGGAATATAATGGGGCTCACAGACATGTATCCTTGTCTTGTTCACTGTATTAATTGCTAAGCTGAAAAAGGACTCCAATGCTAAATTACTTATAGTTCTGGATGCCAGACGATTAGGAGAGCCTAATAATGTATATTTGAAGACATGATTGTGATGGCAAAAGATCTTGATGACCTGATTATAGTAAGTAATGTGGGATAAGGATGAGGAAATTTGGCTTAAATACAACACAAGCGAAAAAGACTCATAGGATTTAGTGTCCTACAACTTTAGTACGTGTCAGCAATGTAGTGCGGTTGCCCACAACATTAATTCAGTCTTGGACAGCACTGACAGCACAGTGCCCAAAGCAGTGGGTAGCCCTCCTGTTTTATTTACTGGGCTCAAGCTGTTGTTGGTAGAAAAAAGCACTGCTTTTACCAGAAAAAACTGCTCAGTTCTGAGTGCTATGACTTGAAAAAATGCAGCCATTAAACAGAAAGGAGAGATAATGTAGACTCATTGCTCATTATTCCAAATACCACAGATATCAGATGGAGATAAGTTTTGAATTAGCATAAGAAAGTTTTTTGTGGTTATGTTTTATTTCTTGAATACTTCTACAGTTCCAAGATAGAATGAACTACATGTAGGGGAAATGTGTTGTTATGGAGTCTGTGTAAACAGAGAGAGGCTGGTTTCATGTGGAACTAAAAGCTGGTGGTTGGTACAGCCAATGTTTAGAGTATGGTAGTGAGAAGGCCTGTGCCATCCTGAACTACGGCAGTGTACCTTTAAGTATTACTAGCTAGGTTATCACATCCGGGGTTTGTATGGTGACTTAGTAGAGAGAAACAGGGAAGGCTTGGAATGAAAAAGTTGTGAATTTTTGTTTGATTCACCAGGCAATCAGAACCACTGAACGTTTCTGAGCCTTGAAATATGATCCAAGAGTTGTTTTTGGAGATTAGTCATCTGGAGATATATGGAACAGATCTGAAAGCATAAGACAAAACCTAAGGGGGTCTTAATGATTGTGTTAGTTACTTTTGTCTCGTTGCTGAGACAAAATACCTAACTCACAAAATTAAGGAAGGAAAGGTTTATTTGGCTCACAGTTTGTGGAGGTTTCAGTTCATACTTGGATGGCTCCGAGGCAGAAGACAGCAAAGCAACAAGAGCAAAGGGGGAAATGGCAGCTGAACAGCAAAGCAGCCAGAGGAAACCAGAGGAATCAGGCCAGCAGCCTCTTCCCCTCCCTTACATTGCACACAGGCTACCCCCAGCTAAGGGGTGTGTAGCTCTCACATAATCTCCATGCCCTTCTCTTCCACAGGCTCAGGATGTATACAAAGTAAGCACCCTGGCTTCCTGCTAAGTCATTTAGCCAAACCTTTAGACTCCCCAAGTTGACACAACGTATCAACCATAACAGTGACCTTGAAATTATATAAATTATTTTTGCATATGTACTTGAGTACTTTTGAGTTACTCAAATGTGTCTGTTTTACCAAGTGGATAAAACCTATTATGGCAGGAACTAGAGAGTCTGTGTGGACGGCCCTGAATGTTTTACTTTTCTCACGGAGGGAGACCAGTAATAATTAAGCCAGAAGGTAGAAGAGGAAAGAGTGAGAGACAGTAGAGATGCTAACCGACAGAAATGAGCAGAACTGAGAACAGTGTAACAGAAGGAGAACCGAGTCTGGCCATTAATGCTGCAGTAACCGTTCTAGCTCCTCCAGTTGTTAACTGTTTATTTGTTGAAATTATTTAACTTCTTGAAGCTTCAAGTTTACTTACTGTAAGATAAAGATAATGTAGTGAGGAGCGAATGATTTGTATATTATTCTGAATGTATTTTATGAACTTTAATATTCAAGACAAATATTGGCTGTTATTACAGTGGGGTTCAGAGGGAGGAAACTCAGGAATATATTAGCCAAAGTAGGGAAGTGTGGATTTTACTGCAGAATAAGACAGAAAACTGCAGAGAACCTGAATTCTGTTTTGGGGCTTGGAATGTATGCAAAGTAATTCAGTATTTTAATTATTATCTTCCTCTTATTCAATACATCTTTCCAATTTCAACTAAAAGTTATAGTCTTCTAGTTTAAGACAATATATATAAAGATTAATTGATCAAAAAATTGCACTTGAGGTTGAAAACTTCATTTGGACTTTTTACTCCCTGGAACGAATTTTTTTGAGGAGGAGTAATGTTGAATTTATTTATTATATGTCACTATTCCTCCCTTGGCCTACTACTAGCTGCTTAAATTCAGTAATTGCCTTACTTGTGTGTACAGATCAAGTGTCTAACATATTACTTGGCACATAGCAGATACCGATTGTTGGACTGCTGCATGATTGAAGTGGGGGCTCAGTTGCCAGACAGTGCATGTATTTAAGAATGTTGGGCTTTTTGAGGATGGTAGTTATTTTCAACCCTAATCAACAGATAACTCCTTCCATGTGTCATTTGAGATTTCTTCCCATAACTTGTACAATATAAGATAAAGAGCTGATTAAAAAGCAGAGGAACAGTTTATGATACACACCATTTTGATATGCTTTGGCTGTAATACAAACTCTAACGTGAGTAGGGGGAAAACTACTTTGTAAGTGTGTAATATGTCCATCAGACTTGTCTAGAAGTCTTGCTGAATTTCATGGATTTACCCTTTGAAGTGCCTAAGGAGGCTCAAACTCTCATCTTTACTGAAGGGTACCGAACTAGTTACTAGTGATTAGAACAAGCTCTAGAGTCAGGGACTTAGGCCTAAAACAATCCTCCTTTAATCACGAGGACAG